ATGTTGTAGCACTTCATAGTGGCGCTCTTCTGTTTCCGTTGCAATAAGGATGTCGTCGATGTAGACGAACACCTCTTTATCCTTCAACACTCCAAGGACCTGGTCCATCAGTCGCTGGAATTCCGCAGGGGATGTGCATAACCCGAATGGCAACACCGTAAACTGAAATAGTCCCTCCGATGTTGTGAATGCACTTTTCTCCCTGGCCTCATCGGACAATGCTATTTGCCAGTATCCTGAGCAAAGATCAAGCGATGAGAAAACTTTCTTGCCTCGCAAACTTTGTAACATGACGTCTATTGAAGGAAGCGGATACGCGTCTGGCTTGGTGTGCTTGTTAAGCTCACGGTAGTCCACACAAAGGCGTAAGGATCCGTCCTTCTTTTTGACCAGCACCACCGGAGATGCCCATGGGGAGGTAGAGCGTTCTATAATGCCTCGCTCAAGGAGTCCCCTTATGATCTCTTTGAACTCTTTTCTGGCACCCACTGGCACCGGTCGAGTTCTCTGGCGAATGGGCTCCGTATCTCCGGTTCTGATTTCGTGCTTCACCAGCGATGTCTGTGTCAGCTCTTTATCTTCTACCGCAAAGACAGAATGGTTGTCTTTGACCAGATTCCACAACCTTGAGGACAAAGTCCCATCTCTCCGATTCTCTTTGAGAAACTGTCGCAGTTTACCCAGTCTTTGACGAGGTGACAGTTCCTTGGTTTCCAGTGAGAGCATATCTGTTGGTACATCTTTAACACTTGCCTCAGTCCAGTCGGCTTTGTGTTGTTTCCACTGACCAACTTGCTCACCTGTTCGCAAAACCACAGGTTCGGACGAACTATTTACCACGGGTACTTCCACTAGGCCATTCTCTTCTGCACGGCACACGCCACTGTGTATCAGTGGCATAGAGGAGTCTAACATCCAGTCTGCTTCTCTGCTGCACCCTGACAGTTTCACCCATGTCATGGCTCCTGGCGCAACATATCCGCGTTGCGCAACCTTCGCCGTTCTCGGTCTTGGTATCTGACGTAAAGTGTGGGATTGGGAACCCCTTTCGCGTAACTCGTTGGTATCATGAATTGACGCATTCCGTCGATTCAGCCGATATCCAAGCATTGAGAGCACATTCGTACCCAGAATCACCATGTCGTCCTTGTCATTCTTGACTTTGGTTACATGAACCAGTGCTCTCACTTGACGTCCGCTCGAACAGTCGTGTATAGGGACCTCAACCACTGTGACGAACTGCATGGCTCCACCTGAAGCGTCATACACGCGCTTCGATCGGTCGATCTCATGCTCCACCAATAATTTATCAATGTCGCACCCAGCCTGTTTTGCTCGCAGCAACACGTCACCTGGTATGATAGATATTTCCGACCCAGTGTCGAGCAAGCCTCGAGCCTTCACTCCTAGAATCTCTAACTCCACAGCCATCTTTTTGCCAAACAATGGACTCAGCTCCTCCTTTGGCCATTTGGTTGAATCCAGACTGTGAACTTTTGCAGTCACGCTGCGGTCTCCGCGCAGTTTGTTTGACAACGATGATCCTTGTTTTGCTGGCGTTTTGATTTTCCCGCAGTCACGAGCCATATGGCCTTCATCGTGACATTTGTAGCACACCGTAGTCTTGCTGCGCGTGCCTTTCCGATTATGCTCTTGCTGATCCTCTGGAGATGACTTGGGATGAACTCTTTTCTCGCCTGGGTCGTGCTCTTTGGCCTGCTTCAAGGTCAGATTACGGCGCTCAATCCTTTTAGCCACCTCCTTCAACTTTTCGTAAGCGTCCTGCTCACATTCCAACGCCTCCAGAAGGTAGTAGGAATCACGCCAATGTACAAGCTGATCGTACAGCAAATGTGCGCGCTCCACTGCTAGTGTGCGTTCATCCAGTTCCGGATAAGCCTGCCGCGTCAGCTGCTCCAGCTCCACGCAGAAGTCCGATACGTTCTGATTATCCCTTTTCTTCAACCTTTTTAGAGCTCCCAGGGCCACTACTTTATTAGTGCGCTGTTCTGCTTTGCATTCGCGGCTCATGGCCTCTACTAGCACAACGAAACCGCTCTCCTTTTCATGTCTGGGTAGCGATTCGTACTGTATCCTCGCTTTCCCTACCAGCTTAGACCGAAATAACGCGCACAATT